TAATAAACAAGTCTTGGAGAGTCTTTATATCCGTGATTTTCCTGAATCGTCTGTACTCTGCAGATGGAATGGTTCAAAATGTAGCGGATTGTTTTCCCATGGATTATCCTGTCAATTGTGCTTTTGTCAATGTTAAAGCATTGGGCAAGATGTGATATTGAAAGTCCCAGCTTGTGTGCTTGTGCGATTCTGTTTCTGTCCTTTTCACTGAGATAACGGGAACTTTTGGTTTTGAGCGCTGCTTGCTTCATTATCGTGACAACAATACGAACATTCAAAGCTGTGCACAAAAATGACCTTGATTTCAAGGTCGACTTGGATTGAGGTGGTATTTCTCGAATTGATTGAGTTAGATATCAAACATAGATTATTATTATGAAACCTTATTCAATGCAATTTCTCTGGGTTGTGATAGAATTTCATTTGGTTATCCGATAGAGTTGCCATAACGGATTATACATTAGATAAAATAATGCCTCATAACAAGTAACCCAGATGGTAAGGGTTTGTGGAAATAACTTAGGGTAATTCTTGAGTCATTCTTATTAGAAAGTATTGCGTTGTCATACTTGATACAGTTTGCGATTCTCATGTTCAGATCATTTATTCTTGGCACTCAAGGTCANATCAAATATAGATTATTATTATGAAACCTTATTTAATGCAATTTCTCTGGTTTGTGATAGAATTTCATTTGGTTATCCGATAGAGTTGCCATAGCGGATTATACATTAGGTAAAATAATGCCTCATAACAAATAACCCAGATGGTAAGGGTTTGTGGAAATAATTTAGGGTAATTCTTGAGTAATTCTTATTAGAAAGTATTGCGTCTTCATACTTGATACAGTTTGCGATTCTCATGTTCAGATCATTTATTCTTGGCACTCAAGGTCATGCACGTTTAATTGACAATAATGCAGCNCGTACATCGAAGTAGACAAGATATAAATTATTGTCCATACCTAAAGCATTAATATGGGTGATAAATATAATGAAACTCCCTTTGATCATAAAGAAAATATTTTAGTGCATCACAATCGGCCAGTACTGTGTATATGGCACAGAACAGGGATGGTTTGAGGTGACAGAACACTCCCCTCGTGTTGAGACTGAAACCCTAGCGGATACGCTACCCATTACCGTTCAAGGAACGAACACTATCAAATGTCACCTTGATGTTGTTTGAGATAGATAGCGAATTCTTCCTAGAACAGAGCTAACACAAATGTCCTATTCTGTCTGTCTACTTAAGTCAATTTGCTTTCTTCATAAATGTGAATATATTTTTTACCAATTGTTGTGAGTGAAAAAAGCTGACGGTACTCAAGTTCTAGCAGGATTCGAACACTCTCTTCGGACCAGGATATGCTAGTGGCTGAAACCACTCGTTAAACGCGTACATAGTTAGCCCTGGCAACAGGACAATCGTGTGTTGTCCAACAATGGTCACCTGTACATGTGTTTGTCCTAAATCTAGGTCACGTCATTCAGTTTCTCTTTCTATCTCCCTTGTTCGGATCGATCATGCGATCCGGTTGTATCTACTGCGGTTGCTGACACACACACACCCTGCCGCCATAGTCCGGTCTTTATCTGCACACCTTACTCACGAGCGCGCGCGCGCTTACGCACTACTTTATCCATTCATGAAAACGAATCTACAATACCAAGAATCAAACAATCAGAATAGTCCGGAAAATAATTCCGGGCGCAAATTAACTTGTTTTTTTGTACACTTTCTTTCAAACTAGCCGTTCGGATAGACTAGCTTATAGACTACCACAATGGGACTCGACCAATCGCTTTTCGCCTCACGCCTTATCTATGTGTGTTTGTGTGNAAATCGTATATGCACGAGCCAGTCGTGAACACTGTCGGTGTTCGAACACCGCTGTCCACATGACATTGCACAAGTCTGTTTGGGCAACCGCACACACAATGCTGAGGTTTGGTGTAGAGTTCTAGGTGATCCTGGTCGCCCTCTGGAGCCAATGGTCGACCTCTATAGATTACGCTGATTGAAGCATGTTGCCAAATCGGTTGTCACTGCGCGCGATGTTTACCGAGGCAATCAGCGAATAGGAAAAAAAAGTAAAAGGTGATCAATCGCAGATCTGGCATCATGACATGAAAACCGTGACTAGGAGAATTGTTCACATAGGCCACTTTAGGCTTCCTGAATGGGGACTCCGGGAGCATTGTAATCAGCGGTTAGAGACGCTGTGTCGCAAACATTGGCACTGGTACATCTGGTCATTATACTTGCAACCTTAGTCTATGTGAATTCTTCTTTTTTGACTCCGCTCGCGACATTCTAATCGTCATTCTGCTCTTCTATCCAAATGGATTGTCGTGAGACAGCAACAAAAACCGGCGCACCAAAACGCAAGGTTAATTAATGAATGTGAATACTGAAGCAGAAGCTATAGACGCACCTCTTTTCCCATTTTCTACAAGCTCCTATGCTCGCCCGTTTGCGCCGTACAAGCAACACTTTTCCAATCCTAACCAGAAACCTGTTCGCTACATGTCGTTCGTTTACGAACTGCTACCTTTCGAGGGTAACTTGATTTATTTTCCCCGGTAGGTATTCCGGTATGCTTTGAAATCAACATCTTGGGACCCTAGGAAATCGTTTAAACTCGTTTTTGAGATTATATTTTGTTTCTTCGCGTTTATACACACACCACTGTTATTCATCCCGTCCGCTGAAACTGTCCCCGTCCGTCTGCATTGTTTCTTGTTTCTACAGAATGAATGGTTCTTTCTGAACTCGTATTTCATCCTTCGGTTATTCTTTGTTTCAACTCCTTCCCCCTAGTCACTGGAACGGCGGGCGTACGACCATCTTATGGCCACTTATCTCCTGCTGGGTGAGAAACTTCGACGGCATCGCCACAATCTCCCTTTCAGTTCTTCTGTCAAATCCAATCTCTGTCCTCCTCAAACTGTGTGTGAACTTGATACCCTGTCCCCGGTGAATAGACCTCCTGTGGGCGTGGACGTTGGCCGCGCGAAATACAGTCGCATGGACAGATCCGTGGATGTCCGGTGTCCCTTGTCCGAAACGGAGTTCGTTTCGGCCAGTGTTCTATCCGCAAGTGTACCGAACACAGAACGACGTGAAGATGAGGCTGATGAGTCTTACCGCGAGAGGAAATGGCCCGCAGCTGAATATCGTTCGAATCAGCCCGGTTCTCGTTTCACAACTCCATGGTCTCAAAATCCGGATTTTACTACTACTCTTCCCTCAACTCTTCCGACCGCAGACACTCTGTTGTCCGGTCCCCGTTTTCAATCCTATACGGATTCATCCCATCCTGCCTCCTATTTGCGCCCTCCGCAACTGACCGAAACTCGGATGGAAGACGGCGAGGATGCCGAGGGTGAGACCGGTATCCGATCTGGCCCATCGCAACATACCAACACACACCACAGTTCCTCTGCCTGTCTGTCACTTTCCGCAGTATCGGATTTGCCTGTAACCACAGCGATCGCTACCAACCCACTCGACTCCCGACTTTGTACTTTGAATTTACCGGGCCAGATTCTCTCACCAGATCCGCAGAACGTAGTGTCCTTACCAATACCTTCAACAAACGCACATAATCCCCTATTGTCCGACTCTGGTGCTCAGGTGAGTATTGTTCGAATATGCATGTCTTCTTCAAGCTTTACCTCGTCACGTCTTGTTTCTGGTAACTATGTACACTGATGCACTTACATATGCCGGAAATATATACATAGATGTATATCTATATCCTAGTAATTAGTATGTGAATGATTGGACAAAATTTCCCTGGAAGCACACGACCGGTTTCGCGGTTCTTGACGCTCGTCAGGCGCGCGTATCCGGTAAGTTAGTTAGTTAGTTCATTCATATACTTGTATTCAGGATGTGCATTTTCGTCACAATAACCTTGTTTATAGCATCGGGTAACTTTTGGATAGACAGCTCTTTCAGAGCCAGTCCATTGAAGAATCAATGCTGTTTCAATGTTTTCGTAAGTGGGTTAGATGCTGCTAACCGCAACAAACGTGACTTGATCGCCTTTACAGAATATTTCATAAATGACTGGACAATATGTAAATAACGTGCGTCCGGTTGTGGATTCCTCAAGCAAATTCACCTTTGACTTGACCTGGGAAACCTGACAGTATTCCCCCCCGCATGCAAATCATGGAACGTCTTTCTTTTTCTTAACAATTATTGTACCATGATTTGTTTGGTACACAGTCTGGATTCAGGCGCGTGTGTTCGAACTGCGTGCCAGAAAAATCACGGTACAGTAATCTTTATAAAAATGTGATAAGGCCCGTGTGGGCGCGATACTGTCAGGTCGCCCAGGCCAAAGCAAGTAAATTTCCTTACGGAGTTCACATACGGAGCTAGTCAAAGCCTGACCCACAAGGCATCGCTGGGTGTTGTGTGAAAACCGTAATCCATTGGAATGCCGGTGTCCAGTTCATCGAATCATACGTCCTTCGGACGGGGTCAAACGTCCAAGGTGCCCAATACACCTCAAGGCCCAATCGAGCCGATGACCACTGTCACGACCGGGAAGTTGTGTGTGTGGTTCGCACGCCTCCTCTTGGTTGGTTAGAGATCAGGGTTTTTAGATAACTCCCCAGGGGAACGGCCAGGGGTTCATCGACGCGGCCCGGACATTGACTTTTCGTTCTCTCACTTTGATTTGGGAAAATACTTCCGCCACACAAGAAGGGAGTGAATCGGGCTTCCTTAACAGAGGCTAATTGAGACACTTGGTCGTATAGGGGGGAGGCATTTCGTGAAAGCAGGGTGACCAGGCACAACCGGAGACACCCACCATCAACCATACTGAGGCTTTCCGAGGAACATATGCCGGATGCTCAGCGCATCGAACACTTTGATCACATAATCTTGACAATCATTAATCGCAGTCCAAACAGTCGGTGCGGTACGTACCGAACTGAAAAGAGCAATACAAAATCGCTATCCCTTTTTGAATTTAAAATGTCTGAATATGAATTTAAGATTTCATGTTGACATGTGGATAGTAGGATAGTGCAATTGTCACGTCGTTTCACATTGTCTTGTGATGTTCTTGTTGTCATGTATAGTCCATCCGTGTGGTGAAGGCACGTCTGATGTACAGTCGAAGTTCACTGGGCCTGTCTAAGACTTGCGGCTGTAAACAAGGTGTAATTTCTCGCTCGGGTTAGCCGGGCAAGAACCAGGTCCCTTGTTGCGGCTGAGCCATTCGGTCGATCGATAAATGAACCCGATCGGTCGTGCGATCTTCGGTCCGGCATAGGAGGCGGATAAGCGCTGAATTCGATGCTGCTTAAGGTTTGGTAGAGAATTATCACGGGAGGATCAGTTGTGGAACGATGCGCCATGTGGAAAATTCGGAATGGAAATAGTTTAAGGGATGACATCTCGGGCCAACGTTTGACTGCTCTAAGGTACGCGTACTATTTTTCGAAATCCGTTCGGTAAACGGATAATGACAATAATAAAACTTGTCTGAAGTACGGACTACACTATTCACTAGTATAGGTCAACGCAAAACTCTTCCTGGAGTTTTACTGACTGGCTTTTTCGCGTTGAACGATTTTGCTAACTACTGATGAAATAGAATTCCGAAAGAACGAAAGAATAAATATTATGGATTTGCTGGAATTGTATGCGATCCGCCAAGAAGCCTTTCTGATTCGTCCAGGGATCCTACTTGAGCATTGAAGTCACCGGCGACTACTACCATGTCCGTTGATCGAACGCTTTGGCGTAATTGAGAAAGATCCTGGTAGAATTAATCCTTGATTTTAAGTGTACTGCAATCGGTCGGTACATACACCGATACGATGAATGGTTGAACGATAATAACAGCGGTACTTCTTAGGGCACTGATAAAATTAAACAGGTTACTGTTCAGAGGTAATCGTAACAAAGCAGCTTTCATCCCTTCAAACAGGCTCAGCTACAAGAACGTCGTGTCAATGATCCTGAGCTTAAACTATTTCCATTCCGAATTTTCCACATGGCGCATCGTTCCACAACTGATCCTCCCGTGATAATTCTCTACCAAACCTTAAGCAGCATCGAATTCAGCGCTTATCCGCCTCCTATGCCGGACCGAAGATCGCACGACCGATCGGGTTCATTTATCGATCGACCGAATGGCTCAGCCGCAACAAGGGACCTGGTTCTTGCCCGGCTAACCCGAGCGAGAAATTACACCTTGTTTACAGCCGCAAGTCTTAGACAGGCCCAGTGAACTTCGACTGTACATCAGACGTGCCTTCACCACACGGATGGACTATACATGACAACAAGAACATCACAAGACAATGTGAAACGACGTGACAATTGCACTATCCTACTATCCACATGTCAACATGAAATCTTAAATTCAAAAAGGTATAGCCATATGCACCAAAGCGATTTGTTTTTATCCGATATCTGTCACCTTTGCCTTATTCGTTCGTGACTCGTATTGTTGCGACAATTCATGCCTGCCTCTG